GTGGGATCTGGAAAAGATCATCCTGAGTGAGGTATCCTAGAGGCAAAAAGACACACATGGTATATACTCACTCATAAATGGTTATTAGACATATAATATAGATCACACCTACTAAAATCTGTACACCTAAAGAAACTAATCAAGAAGGAGGTCTCTGGGTAAATGCTCAAACTCCATACAGCAAGGCAAATAGGATGAACATCAGAAGAAGGAGAAAAAAGGGAACAGTACAGAAGCCTGCCACAGAGGACCTGTGATAGGCTCTATCCTGCAGGGTATCAAAGCAGATGCTTAGACTTATGGACAACCTTTGGGCAGAGTGAAGGGAATTTCATGAAAAAAGAAGGAAATAATAAGACCTGGAGAAGAAAGGAGCTCCACAAGGAGAGCAATAGAACCAAAAATTCTGGGCACAGGTTTCTTTTCTGAGACCAAAACCATTGATGGAGATAAATTAGAACCCCTGCACAGATGTTGCAAATGGCAGTTCAGTTTCCAAGTGGGTTCCATAGTAATGGGAACAGGGACTGTCTCTGACATGAAGGGATTGGCCTGTTCTTTGATCACCTCCCTCTGAGGGGTGAGCAACCTCAGCAGGCAACAGAGGAAGACAGTGCAACTACTCCTGATGAGACCTGATAGACTAGGATCAGAAGGAAGAGGAGGAAGACCTCCCTTATTAGTGGACTTGGGGAAGGGCATGTGTGGAGAAGTGGGAGGAATGGTGGGATTGGAAGATAAGGAGGGAGGGGGCCAAGCATTGATACAAAATGAATAAAGTATAATTAATTAAAATGGAAAAAAGCAGAGTCTGAACAGATAAAAATCCAATATCTAAATGAAGCAGTCATTATAGCAAAACAAATCTCTTCCATTAAAGAAGATGTATAAAACATTTAAAATAAAATGATAATGAGTAATTAAAAAAAATTGGTTTGTATGCAGGCATGCCTACAGGGTGTTTTGTCAATCATTGGTTAATGGAAGAGGACCCAGCTCATTGAGTGTTGCATAAGAAAAATTGTTCAACCACGAATGGTGTGGACACTTGTGACTCCAGCACTTGAAATTTCAGAAACAGGCTGATCTCCGTGAATTTGAGGCCAGCCTAGTCTACAAAGTAAGTCCAGGGCACTCAAGGCTATTAAGCATAATCCTGTCTTGAAATCCCCCAAACCAAAAACACACAAATACAAGTTACTGTATAAAGAACAAGCCATTCCTGATGACACCTAATTGACTAGGATGAGAAGGAAGGAAAAGAAGACCTTCCCTTTTCTGGTCTAGTCTGGTGTTCTGTAGGCCTCTTCTATATTTATGAACATCTATTTCTTTAAGTTGGGAAATTTTTCTTCTATGATTTTCTTGAAAATATTTTCTGGAACTTGGTGCCTGGAGTCTTCTTTTTCATCAATTCTTATTATTTTTAGATTTCATCTTTTCATGGCATCCTTGATTTCTTGGATATTTTGTGTTTTGGGCTTTTCTGACTTTACTTCTTCTTTGAGAGAAGTATCAATTTCTGAGAGTGTATCTTCAGCTCCAGAGATTCTCTCTTTCATCTCTTGTATTCTATTGGTGATGCTTACCTTTATGGTTACTAATCTTTTCTCCAAGTTCTCCAGCTCAAAGGTTTTCTCAGTTTGTGTTTTCTTTATTGATTCTAATTCTGTTTTCATGCCTTGCACCATTTCCTTCATTTGTTTGAATGTGGATTCCTGTCTCTCTATGATGGTCTCTATTATTTTTTTCATTTCCTTTCTATATGTCAATAATTTTATCTCTACTTGTGCCTCTATTTGTTTGGCTATGTTTGCCTGTGTTTCTTTAAGAAATTTGTCTATTTCTTCTTTCTGTACCTCCAATTGACTGGCCAAGTCTTTGAAAGATTTGTTCATTTCCTCTCTAACTGACTGAAATTGCATGGTTATTGTTCTGAGAGAGTTGTTTGTTTCCTCTTTATGAGTCTCAAATAGTTGGGTACGCATAGCTTTAAAGTAATTTTCCTGTGCTTCTGATGAATTGGAGTATCCATCAATTTTGGGGGTTGCTGGTGAAGTCATGATGTCCTGATTTATGTTGGAAGTGTTCTTTCAACTACCCCTGGCCATTGGCTTATCTGAAACCTTCCCTGTTTATTTTTGGTTTCTGCAGTTCAGACTGGTACTGTCTCTCTCTGGTGTCTGGAGAGTTTTTCAGGAAGCTGAGAGCTGTCCTGTGTCCTCAGCATGTGCTGAGGACTAGCTCTTCCTGTGAGAGAAAAGTAGGTAGGCACAAAAGGGGAAAATGCAGGCATGCATGCCTGTGTGTGTGTGTGTGTGTGTGTGTGTGTGTGTGTGTGTGTGTGTTTGTGTGTGTGTAAGTGTGCATGGAAGTATGTCTCGGGGGACAGAGTGATAGATAATGTTGAACCCTTGAGTGTGTGTGGGGGCTCTGCACTGTATATGTAGCAGGCACTAGTGATGGTCCTGGTGCAATTTCTGGCATTAACTGCCTTAACTCCTCAATTGGACCCACAGAGCAGGGGCTTCAATGTCCCAAGTGAATGTCTGTTTCCCAAAGTGGGTATTTGGGTGGGAGGTGTTTGATGTCTGGCTTCTGTTTTAGAAGGTCCCTGAATCTGGGGCTCTGCAGATTCTCAAGGGTGCACTCACTCTCAGGCAGGTCACTTGGCAGGGATAGGGGTATCTGGGCTCTCTGCTCTTTGGTTTGGCCCTGTTTGTTTGATGTGCTTTGCCAGCTCAGTGCTGTTGCCACTGCCAAGTTAGGAAGTCCTGCTGTAGCTGGAGACTAGGATGCCAGTCCACATGTTTTCTGCTAAGGCCTGTGGGCCCTCCACTGTACTCTCCAAGCTGGGGAGGCCCAGGGCCTGATGTGCTTAGCTTTTATGGAGGGTCTGCTTGGCTTTGGTGGGTATCTAGCAAAATATCTGTCACTGAGGAATTGGGTGGGCCATGCAATCTGTGTCTGAGTGAACCTACAGGGCCAGTATGTTGGGTAGCAGACCCGGGACTCTGGGATGATGGTGCCATGGTTCTGCACCAGCAGTGCAGGGGCTTCGATGTCCCAAATATATCTGGGCACAGGGTTTTTATCTGAATCTGTTTTCCAACCAAGGACCATGTATGGATATAACCTAAACCTTTGTTCTGACAATGCTCATGGTAGCTCTATAAGCAATTGTTTTCCAATAGTAAGGGGAAGAGGAACCAGCTCTGACAGGAACTCAATGGCAGGCTCTTTTTCCTCCCCCAAGGGAGGAGCAGTCCTGCTAGGCCACAGAGAAGGACTTTGCAGCCAGTCCTGAAGATACCTGATAAAACAGGGTCAGATGAAAGGGGAGGAGGTCCTCCCCAATCCGATGACTTGGAAAGTGTCAGGGAGAAGCTGAGGGAGGGAAAGTGGGGTTGGGAGGGAATAAGGGATCAGGATACAGCTGGGATAGAGTTAATAAATTGTAACTAATATTAATAAACAACAATAATAAAAAGAAAACTTTACAGAGAGCCAGTTAATGAATGGCAAAGCTAAAGAAAAAAATTCATCCATGGGACTTTCAAAAACTAATTTCTCTTTTTGAATGTTACTATATTTGTCTTGAGTTAGAAATCACATTTTGTAATTAATGTATTTCTGGATATTTTCTTCTAAGGACAGAACATTCATTACACTTTATAGACATTACTCATCATGATATGTTTCAGAAAGAATCATGAAAATACTTTTACCAGAGAGAAGTTAAACCTTCAAGTGTGAACCTGAACAAGTGGTAAGAAGTCCATTCAGGGAGAAACTGAGATTTACCTAAGACGTGTCTGAATTCAAAATCTATCCTATGTTTCCAGGCTAGCATGTGAAGGTTTTCATAGCTGTTGAAACCATAGGGTATTGCCTTGAGATTGGTACTCTGGGCCTGTTTTCCTGTGTCATGTTTGGCTTTTATTATGCTTATTTTGTCTGAGAGCTTTTCAGTTTTTCAATGCACTTGGCTGTTATGTCTGTGAATAATCTACTCCTCTATTAAAGCATATTTGTCAGTTCCAGCTTAACTGTGTCTCTGTATAATATTAATATGTAAAGGCTTCTCCCTCCTCAACAAACTTCCTCCATTCCAATTATAAAAGAAGCTGAGATGTAGCACTGGAGTTCTTAGTTGTAGTAAATTGAGAAATAGTAAAAAAAAAAAAAAAAAAAAAAAAAAAAAAAAAAAAAAAAAAAAAAAGAAAAAAAATAAAAAAAAAAAAAAAAAAAAAAAAAAAAAAAAAAAAAAGAAGAAGAAGACCTCCCCTATCAGTGTACTTGGGAAGGGGCATGCAGGCAGAGGGTGGAGGAAGGGGTGATTGGGACAGGAGGAGGGAGGAAACCACAGGGAGGATACAAAGTGAATAAAGTGTAATTAATAAAGAATTAAAAAATAGACCTTCCAAAAAATCCAAATAAATAAACTGTAGTTAATAAAAAAATTAATTAGAAAAGGACTAATATCCAGAATATGTAATAAACTCTAGAGGACATCTTCAGTGTAAGCCTTTCCATATTACACCATGAGTATATTTCTTAACACATATCAATGGTCACTTGATGACTGACCATAACAGGGAAATGTGAGAAAAGATAGTTCACCATAGACTCATCTCCATAAAAGAGGATGGTCTTTGCCTGTGACTATATATCAAATAATTGGTTTCATCCAATGGTTTTTACAGATAGAAAAGCAGCTGTAAAATGTATATCAGAAGTAAAACTTCTAACAAGGAAATCTGGGTAAAGGGTGTCTGAATAAAAATATTGCAACTGGAAAAAAAAAAGGAACAAGCAATTAAGCATCATTCTTCCATCCTTTCTGCATCATTGCCTGCTTACAGGTTCCTGCCTTGGTTTCTCATACCTGATTGTTACCCAGTATATATACCGAATCAACTCTTTCAGCCCAATACTGTTTTGGTCATGATTGTTTCAAGGAAATCAAAACCCAAATGCAGACAACAAATAACTTTTATTCATTCAATATTTAAAGAATTTATTTTTCTGAGGTCCAGAAAAATTAGAATTTCTGTGTCATCAGGTTTTATTATATGTAGGCGACAAATAGGACAAGTTGAGTTGTCAGAGAGCCAACGATCAATGCATTTATGATGATATTCATGAGAGCAAGGTAGTATGCGAATCTTACTGCCTTGTTTATACCGTGTAATACAAATACTGCACTGGTTTAATTTATCATGTTTACAAAAATCTCTTACTGGTAAAGCGTTAATCTGTTGTTTGGTAAGTCCTTTAGGGTGGTTATTATGAACATCATTGAAGATGGTAAAATGAGGCAAAGATGGCCAAGAATCACTATCATCAGAAAATTCTGGAGTGGTAACACGACTTCCCTGCCTGGCCTCATAGGGTGGGTGAGGTGGTACAATTAAATCATTAGTGTCTTCACCTTGTGAGCTAGCTGATGAATTTATATTATTGACTATAGTATTGTCACTAGCCACAGGAGTAGGTAAAATATGTTGATTGAATCTTAAATTGGGAAATGGTAAGGAATTCGTGATAGAATTACGGGTAGAACTTGATGTAGAACTAGAAACAAAACTGGAAATATCGCTCTCACCAGAATGAAGTCTATTATTATTTTCACTTGATGGTGAGTCAAAATCCTCTAACTGAATCGCAATGCAATTGTTACCGAGTATCTCAAAAACTCCTCTCTTGATGTACCCTGATAGTCCAAAAGGAGATGCAGCTATTGCAAAATCTAAACTAGTATTTGCGGTTTGATCAACAGAAATTATTTCAGAATTCTCTATACCTGTCTGATTAGGACAGGAAGAGGTGTTTGTGTTTTCTTCTTGATCAGTTTCCACAGGGACAAATTGAATTGGTGTTACAGATATAGACTGACTGTTATGATCAGTGTTCTCTGTTGATATGTGTTCTATCGTTGGAGAAGATGTTCTTTGCAAATCAGATATAGACAAATCGTCTTCCAGTTGCAAACCTATGTACCCATTAGAACCAAGGGAAGTCTCATCCACCCTAAGATGTGACTGTGTTTCAGGTAATACATGATGACAATCTCTCACTAATTCCATATCCTGAGTATGTGGAAGTGGTCTACTTCCTGTTGTTTCTCCAACGATCAGAACTTCTGGAGTGTCACTTCTGGTGATTCTATCTTTAATACATGGCCCTTCGATTAAAACATTAGTTATATCTTCCTCTGGTAAGAAAGTAATTACACAGGTTGACTCAGGATGTTGATGTTCCACTTCATTCTGGCTTTTCCTAGTACAGTCATGGTAGCTATGTCCTGAAGGTAATGCATGGTCAATTTGAGGACTTGAAATCCCATCATTAAAGGTAAATCTCATCTCTCCAGTGATGTCATTATTCCTTGGTTTACACTGCCCCAAGCCCACACTCCAGTATTTTTCTTTGTGTTACAGTTTCAGATTGTTGAAAAGAGGTAACCTGGACTCTTTCAGAATCATCACTACGCACAACATCTTAAGTGTTTTCTTCACTTGTAAACATAAAAGGGAAGTTAATCAGAAAGGAACTCTCAAAATTAGAATGCATTCTTGTTTGACACTGCTTCAAAAATAAATAAAATAACCCTAAAGATTCAGATATTTTAATCTGAATTTGTGTCATATTTCACATAGAATCAATAAAAGTCAAAAATGTAAAACATAAAAATCAAAATTTACACACAGAGTTCAAATTTGCCTTTGAAATAACCTATATTGTTCTAGATATATTTATGAAAATTTAAAGTGAATCAGAAGACATTTCTACTAAGTTTCAGAGTCTTTTATATCACCTTTTAGAGGAATCGAATCTAGATATTAATATAACCAGCAACATAATTCTTAAAACTTTAAAAATATTTTTTAAACTTTCACTTATATTATGGACACATGTATTTATATCTGTGAGCATATATCAAATGTGTTCAAATATTGTTGAAGCACTAAGGAATCAGAATCCCGAGGTCTCCATTCCTAGACATATAACTGAAGGGGGAATAAAAATTGGACATAGTTCCTGTGGAAGAACACAAGGTGATCTTTACTTATATTTTAAAAATTACTTATAACTTAAAAAATAACTTATAACTTAAAAAATAAATTCTCACAAGGTGTAATATGAGTCTCAAAATTCAAATTTTATTTTTTAAAAATACTTTTAGTCTATAACTTTATGTTTAACCTCATGAAATGCAAGCAAATAAAACATGATAGTGGACATTTATTATATAGTAATTATTATTATTCCACCCTGAGAAAGAAAGTCCAGTTCTTGTTAGACCAATTTTGGTAGGGTATTTCACTGAAGAACAAACACCTGGTTGTATTGGGTGAGAATCTGTGTGTTAAAATCATTGAAAGCACACTTACCCTTGTAAAACTGTATAAAATTAAACACACACACATACACACACACACACACACCCACACACACACACACAAATAATTACCCATTATCACTACCAAAGTTTTTCTGAGGATATTAAGAGATGTCCTTTGGGGAGGACAATAGAATTATGCCAAATTTCATTTGTTGATATAGTTTCTTTGTATGACTTCTGTAAAGAAGAAATAGAAGTGATAAACAAATACATGGAAAAATGGTAAATATCATTTGCCATCTTAGATGTAAGTGCATATCAAGATTACATTACAGTGCTCTCTCAATGATTGACAATCATTTACTACCATAATCATTACTACTAAACATAATAGAATACACTTTACAATTTACAACCAAGAAAAAAAACAAAATAATAGTGTTTTGAGAATATTGCTTGTTGTAAAAACCTTAAAAAAGACTTTTAGTTTGCACCTTAAAACTTCAATCACAACTAAATGTTTGTTTTGCTAAATTATAGAAAATATCAGTTTTATTTAATGTAAGATGCTCAAAAAAACTCAGGTAATATACAGAAATTTTAACAATGTTGAATTCAGAGTATTCATAGGTTACTGACATCTAGTTGAATCATGGAATCTTGGAAGCCCTTGGCTCCTCCTTCTTTTTCTTTACTGAAATCTATTACAAACCTTGAGTATTCCATGTTCACCTTTTTGATACACATTTTTTTTTAAAATATTGACTCAGATTGTAGATATCTCATTTGCCTTTTGTTATTTGCCATTTATTCTCTAGCAAGAACTTTGGCAAATAATAGTGCTCCATGCATTTAAACTTTTATGATGCACCACTCCACTGATATTGGGTCAGTTTAAATTACTGTGATGTAATGTAAGATAGGTGTTAAGTCTCTGCCATATTTTAATAATATAAGAAAGATGTTAGCCTGAGTCTTAAAAAAATTCCACTAGGCACATCCTACAAGTGATTGTCTACACCTCTTGTCATCAAGTGGAACAACTTCATATAGGAACTCCAAAATAGAGAGCCATCATGTAACAGTGCTTTAAAATTTTGGTTAAAAAACAGTAATAACAAGGGGCAAAGAGGATAGCAGATCATGCTATGTCAAGGTTTGGTATTGTTTCCAAGGTCTGACAGGTATAGGTCGAGATCAACTCTCCAGTGAGTGGTGACAGGAAAACATGGTGGTCAGCAGCAAGAAAAGTAACAAGTTCATTTTAAAAGGCTCATTGTAAATTGGGGTGAATTCAGGTGTGAAGTGACTACAACTGAGAAGTTTGGAAATGGAGCTGAAGATGAAGAGTCTCAGAAAATTTACACAGCATACTCAATAACAGAAAAATTTCAAGGTAGAGGTATAGAAGAGAGAAGAATCCCTGTGATAGCTGTATTAGCAAAGGGAAGGATAAAAGCCAAAGGAAAGAGTAGCAAGAGATAAAACAGAGGCAAAAACCCACAGAACACTTCACACATCACTACATAGATTTAAAATGCAACAAGTCAGAAATTTCAGGGTTTACATACTTTAGAAAAACCCCAGAGAATCTTTGTTTTCAGTATTTTATTGGAAGCGTTGCAAGAATATATATTCAGCATGGTTGCTCCAACAAAACTGCATAAAGACCTCACCAGTACACATACCAATAGGGTTACAGTAACTCTTTTTTTTATATTAATTACACTTTATTCATTTTGTATCCCCCCATAAGTCTCTCCCTCCTCCCCTCCCGATCCCACCCTCTCTCCCGTTTCTGCATGCATGCCCCTCCCCAAGTCCACTGATAGGGGAGGTTCTCCTCTTCTTTCTGATTTTAGTCTATCAGTTCTCCTCAAAAGTGGCTGCATTGTCCACTTCTGTGGCCTGGTAGGGCTGCTCCCCCCTCAGGGGGAGGTGATGAAAGAGCAGGCCAATCAGATTATGTCAGAGGCAGTCCCTCTTCCCATTACTAGGTAACCCACTTGGACACTGACCTGCCATGGGCTATGTCTGTGCAGGGGTTCTAGGTTATCTCCATGAATAGTCCTTGGTTGGAGTATGAGTCTCTGGGAAGTTCCCTGTGTTCAAATTTTCTTGTTCTGTTGCTCTCCTTGTGGAGTTTATGTCCCCTCCAGCTCTTACTATTTCCCACTCCTTACATAAAATTCCATTCACTCTGCCCGAAGGTTGGCATTCAGGCTCAGCATCTGCATTAACTCTTAAGAGTCCCCACTCTTAGGTGACGAATTATAAGCAGTGGATGCTAAGAGTGTATAAATAGGGAGTTTCCTCCAACGAACAGATAGGTTATCCATTCCACAAAGTAGCCAGCCTTAGAAACATATAAACATGACTGTCTTTTCTATTGACTGTCTTTTACTGAGTAAATTTATTGTACATTACATTTATATGTTACATTATTTAAAGGAGGGGCCATGATTTGAGAAGTTAGAGACAGATGGGAGGACTTTCAAGGGAGAGAGATCGATTGAAATGATCAATGCAGCCATTCCTGATGAGACCAAATAGACTCGGATAGACTAGGATAAGAGGGAATGGGAGGAAGACCTACCTTATCAGTGGACTCAGGAAGGGTACAAGTGGGGAGGAGGGAGGGACTGTGGAATAGGGAAGGATGGAGAGAGGAGGGTACAGAGGTGAGACAATGTGAATAAACTGTAATTAATAAAAATAAAAAGAATTTAAAAAGATATAACTTCCTAATAAAGATCTATAATGATATATAAAAAATGATGTAAATACAGTGTACTCATGTATAAAATTCTAAAAAGAAAACATAATATGCCTACAAACAGTTTTTAAAAAATGACCAGACCCCTGCTGATGCAGTAACAAGGTGATTCAGAGACAAAAGAAATTTCCACCCTTATCAGTAGACTTCGGGAGTGGCATAGAAGAATATGGGTTAGGCTGGGAATGAGGGAATAGGCTACATTTGGCTACAAAGTGAATAAGCTGCACTTTATAAAAAAATAAATGAATTTTTTTTAAAAAAATATGTCTACAAAACGTTTAAACAAAAGGACAAGACTCCTGCTGATGCAGTAACAAGGTGGATCATAGAGAAAAGAAGATATCTTCCTGGACAGTCCACTGTGGAAACCCAAAGCAAGTTTCCTGGAAGTATTCTTTGAATCCTGGCATGCAGAATAATATTACTGGGAGAAAAAATGCTTAATAGGTGTAGCACAGTGTTCCATTCAGAGGTAATCTAGTCTGACCTAGGCAACAGTGAGACTCACTAACACCTCAGCAGAGGGATGAGCAGAAGCAACTGTACAAAGATTCTATAGCCAAACTCCAGCCAAGGAAACCTTTATTGACTGTCTTTTCTAGTACCTAGAGACCGAAAGACACCTTTAGTTATAAAACCTCTTCCTAGATGATTAATCACATCATCTATTTGTGAGAGAAATAGCAGAAAGGGGAACACGAGGGGATTCTTTGTGATATTTTACTGTGTAAGATAGGTCAATGGCCACATTCATATATCTCATTGTCAAGGTACTCAAATGGACATTTAATGAATACTCCAGATATGATAGTTTATATTAGTTTTGTATTTCAAGTTATATTATTATATAATATTCATTTTCCATTTAATTATTTCTAGGCTTGTCTAACATGACTTTGGTAATATGTGTGATCTTCAAAATATATGACTGTAGAGACAAAAAGTGAAGAAAGTTCCATTTAGATTTAAATCATTTACATATGTCTTTTTGATGATGTGTTTTGTTTTTTTTTTTACTTCTTTTTTACATTACTCTTTTTTATTAATTACACTTTATTCATTTTGTATCCCCCCATAACCCCTTCCCTCCTCCCCTGTGGATCCCACCCTCCCTCCCCTTTCTACATGCATGCCACTCCCCAAGTCCACTGATAGGGGAGGTTCTCCTCTTCTTTCTGATCTTAGTCTATCAGTTCTCATCAAAAGTGGCTGCATTGTCCTCTACTGTGGCCTGGTAAGGCTGCTCCCCCCTCAACATACTTTCTGTCAATGAAATAACACTTAAAGCCTATAAAATTCACTTACATAATTTACTACAGAAATCAGTCTACTTTTCACTGTTGTTAGAAAGGGAAAAAAGAAAGGGAAAGTGGTTTAAAACAATTGGTAAGCATATCAGAACGGAAATGGTAAACATAGTGAAGTATTTTGATGTAGCAGGGTTTTTAAAATCCCAAATTAGTGCTGAAGCTTAAAGACACAAAGAAAAAGTAAAATTTTCTTTGATTCATGCAATCAGTGTATTTTAAAATAATGCAAAATTCTGTTGCTTATATGTAATATGGAGTTAGGCTCTTTTCTCAGATAATGTGTTGTTTAGTAGGTTTAGTTGTTTTTTTTTTTTTTTTTGGTTTGTTTGTTTTGTTTTAGTTTGGTTGGGTTGTTGGGATTGGATGTTGTCGTTCTGTTTTTTTTTTTTATTTATTTTATTTATTTTTATTTTTTACTTTTTGTCAACCGGACTCAATCTAGAGTCATCTGTGGATGAACTTCAGCTCTGAAAATACATCCATTTGATTGGCCTGTAGGCAGGTTTGCTGTGCAACTGCCTGGTCAGTGAATGATGTGAGAGAGCACAGTTCAATGTTGTTGCTGCTACACCTGGGAGAAAAGGCCCAGGATGGTGTAAGACAATAGGCTGATCATATCACCAGAGTAAACCAGTAAATAGTATTTTCTAACATCTCTTTTTCATTTCATGCCTGCAGTTTTCTGCCCTGAGTTCTGGCTCTAAATTCTCTTCGTGGAGGATTATAGATTACAATATAATACTGTAAATTAAAGTATATTATACTATAAGCTTACATGAACCTCTTTCTCCCCAATTTAATTTTGATAATGGTGTTTCATTAAAGAAATAACCTAAGACATACAGTTATAGATACTTTTTCTCTTTAATTACTAAGTAAGGCTTAAGAAAGACAAGAGACACACCTTCAGTGATACATCTCATTAACATTTGAGCAAATAATACCAGGGATGAGGGCATGTTCAGAGAATACATATTTGTAGTATTTTCCATATCATTCTTAATGTTTTGTTGATTTGGAGTTGAAATAAATTACCTATCATACAAAATCAATATGATGGGTCTACAATAGTATATATAAGAACATGCTATAAAACCTAAATTTTTATTGTATGCTCTACGGAAATAATATAATACTATTTTCAAGTATAAAACATTTAATAATCTTTGGCACTAGAGTAAAAATTCATAGTTCACATTGTGAGAGAAATATAAATTCTTTGGTGAGAACACATGTTT